TTTTGTACCAAATTCAAGAATCTGTGTAAGTTTTCAATGACGACCATATATTCAAAGTATGTGTTATAAAAGTAAGGCTAAGTTCACAACCTAGAGTAATAGCGTTACGCGTTGCAATGGAAATCGCTCAATCCAAAGAAACTTCTTCGCCAGCATAATCGCTGGCGATTAAAACGTAGCTAGTGTTTAAATTGTAGCAAAATTATACACGACTAATTTTTTATAATAGGGGAGTTTACGATGAGTAGCATTTTAGATTTAAAGTTGCTACGTACCAATCTAGCATATATTTTGTTGTTGGGAAAGCAACAAAACGTGTGATACATTGCTACGTAGGGATTTCCCTAATATATATTTTTTGTTTCCACAACCCTTTGGCAATTTATACCGAAACTTAAGCATATTGTATTGTATATAATAGCAGTAGAAGAGATGTTTAATTTATTATATAAATATGTACATATGTATATTTTTTATTTATTTGGGCTTTAAGTATGAGAAAAAGCTTTTTTTAACAAACTGCATAATTTTTATTTGCTTGCACAGCGATAAACACCAAAGACTGTGTAAATATTGGTTAGAAGCGATTTTTATGTATTCTCGCTACGCTAATACGTTAGGTTGTAAACTTAGCTTAATACTGAATCTCAGCTGGACGCCATATTAAAGCTGTATGACTACTATTTAGCTAATTTAACAATTTCATTATGTACATTGGCTCAACTATGCCACTTTATGGATATTTTCGACCCTGTTTTAAACAGCGCGTCTCTTAGAAAATTAAAAATGGCCAAAAAATCACTACTTTCAAAATGTAACTTTTTCCAGATTTATTTAAATCTTCAAATCCTCATAAATTTTGAGGCGCTCGATTTTTAGAGGGGGTAGGACCGAAATTCACTCGACAGAATGTACCTCGTTTTTAAATTAGGAACTCACATTCATATATATTCGCGATTTTGATGTCTGCATATAATATATACTGAGATTTATAAAAATAATTCTAAGTTGTGCAGATTAAAAAAGAGCTTCGGTGTAAATTTTATGTCTGAGTTAATTTTAAATTTGATTACTAGTAAATTTTATTCCTCGAATCATTTCGTACTCTTCACACTCATGGGAATATATTTATGCTAGAATATGATGTAAATGATTTACCATTATGGTGTATGATTTGAGCCAATTATGAGTACGTATTTTACACCAACGGAGTTTATTTTATGTTCTAGAAACAAGAAAAGTTGTATACCACTGGCATAATATATATACCGAAAATCAGTAAAAAAAAATTACGGTAGGTGTAAATAATACACGAAAAAGCGGTATAACCTTTACACTGAATGGAAATAAACTGTTCAAAAACTGCGCCTAGAAATGGCATATTTTTTATATTGAAAATGTATATCACGCCGATGCAAAAAATACACAAAATATTTTGGTGCATTTTTGACTTTTGTGCTACTTGAGGTACTGGTATAGGTTTCGTTTATTTTATCAATTTAATTAAATAAAATTATTCAAACGGGTGGCAACCCTCCTAAAAAATACTTTCGGCAGTAAAATTTCCTAAACCTTTTCAATTTGATACCCATATTGCAATATTCAATTTGACCTATAAATTAAATTTAATTAAAATTTTAAAACAGGTGGCAACTCTCAAAAAATATTTTCCGCTGTAAGGCTTCTTAAACCTCTTTCTTTTTACTCCGATATTGCAATATTCATATTTTCTTATCAATTTACTTAACCTGCAATTTTCGAACAGGTGGCAACTCTCAAACTTTTTTCTCTCTAGATTTCAAGTTAGATCTCTAGCAAAATATTCGTGAAAACCGCTTTCACGAGTGATGAGCCTGCAAACATACATACAGACAGACAGACAAAAATTCTTAAAATGGTTGATTTGGCTTCTATTGCTCTAATAGAGACACTCCATATTAGTTTTTCTTTAATATCTAACTATAATGAACAGTCATCGGCCTGTTACAATTTTAATATATGTATAGATAGCACTATTTTGATGTACCGTTTATGAAATGACAAAAAAAGTTTTTTTGAACCACTGTAGTACCTACATGTATTACTTTTCATATCAATTCAAGTCTATTACATGCGCCCCACGCTTTTCATTTCCAATCTCATAAATTGTTTTTAATGACTTCTGCTAAAATTTCAGAATCAAATTGATATCTTTTCATTCTATGTGACTTAGAAATATTATTTTCTAATGTTTAGCCATTTATAAAGGCGTGGTATATTAAAAAGTTTTTTTATTTTATTTATTTCCTACTTTTTAGTCTTGTCTGTATAAAAATTTGCAATAGATATTAAAATAACTCAACGATATTAATAGATTGGTACACACGCTTGCATATATGTATGTACATACATACGAGCGTCAATTAATTTCATTCAAAGAAATGGCGTGCCGTCCATTTCCGCTGTAGCGTAAGTAGTGCATATTTTTAGGCGCAATATATTGGAGTCATGTATCTCTAGAGTTTTGATATGATACCAGGCGACGAGGTTGATGTCAAGACTTTTATAGGATCTTTGCAAAGCAAAGGTTTTATAGCAATGAATGGTGTCTGGACACACAACATTGCAAGTTGATAAAAGCGTTGTAATAAAAAAAAACAAGATACACGTTGGAGAGTTTAAGAATTTTGCAAAAAAAAGTAACAATAAACAAAGAAAAGGAAACACTGACGGCATCGCGGATGCATACTTTTTATGTTTATAGCTATTTTAGTATTAGTTTGATCAGACCACAAGTATGAACGCTGCTAAATTTTAAGGTTAAATGTTAAGTGTACAATAGTTTAATTTTCAAATGTTTTTTAATGTTTTCCCAAAAGTGTTTAAAGTCCAGTATCATTGCTAATTGTCACAGATTCAATCAAAATTTGTTCCTTGTTTTTGTGTTCACAAATTTTGTTTTGCGTTCATACATATTTACAACGTATATTCTAACAATAACGTCCTTATATTTGTTTCTTGTTGATCTCTAATAAGGCAGCAAAGTGAAGAAAGTCTTTTCTTGCACATAAAATAACTTGATCAAAATAGCATATTATAACCAACTAAATTGTCTACATCTACATAAACTCCTCTTTCTTTTCATCAGAATCGGTGAAAGTGTACAAGAAAATATTATATTTCCATCTCTAAAGGCCGGTTCACACGATATTTTTTATCATGATTGATACAAAGGCAAATATTTTTCCATCACACGATTGGACTACTAATTTACACCAAATTTGATGTTACTAATTTGTGTACCGCTGTGATGTAGTGGTTAGCAGTGCGCGCTATTATTCCACAGGGCCTGCGTTGGACCCCATCTTCCGACCAACATCAAAAAAATAAGTCATAAAAAAGTTTTTTTTTTCTTATAGCGGTCGCCTCCGCAGGCAGTGGCAAACCTCCGAATTTAATTGTGCCATGAAAACAGCTTCTCATAAAAATATAATCGCCGTTCGGAGTCGGCGTAAAGCTGTAGGTCCCTCCCCTTTGTATGACAACTTAAAGGCGCACGCTACAAATCGGAGGAGAAGCTCGGCCAAACACTAATATATAGTATAAGCGCCAATCTATTATTGTATAAGCAAGCTGTATCAAAATTTCATTACCTTATCATTATCGGTTCCAGAGATAAGCGATATGGAAATTTCAATTTATATGGTATGTGCCACAACCCCTTATTCCAATTCCCTTTTCGCCACAAGCACGGTACTGATAACATATGTAGACAGTTGGCATTAGCGGTTTCAGAGATAAGCGATGTGAAAATTCAGATTTTGTGGGAGGTCCCACGCCCCCTTTTCCAATTTCTACCAGTTTTCGCCATAAGTACGTTTTTTATAACATATGAAACGATGTCAAATTTCTGGTCATTAACATAAGTGTTTTTATGGGAGGTGCCATACCCCCTCTTACAATGCCCTCCACCTTCCGCCATAAGTACGGGATTTACAATTTATGCATCCATGTCAAGGTTCAGTTCCCCAGCATAGAGTAAGTTATGTATATCCTTTAAATCGGTGTATGTTTCATAGAAATCGAGCGAACGGTGGCCTCAAGAAATGGGTTTCAAAATGTTATTGTAGTGTATTTATAAATAGATATTTTTTATGGTGATATGCAATACGTTATTTAACTAAAACAACTTTTTTTATATAAATGTTTTTCCGGTACTTTTCAGCATTTGTTACGGGGTCCTCTGCCACAACAGCAGCAGCGAGAGATGGGCCCAGCTGAGGCATTTTATCATTATGCCTATCATATAAATCGCAGCAATAATCAAATGAGTGGCAAATACAAATATAATCGTAATGATAACGGTTCCAATAGTTTTACCAATTATTACTACGCGGAGGACATCAAAGGCTATGCGAATAGAAGTAAGGCGCAGCTCGGTGACCTCGCCGGTGGTAAAATGTTGGCGGACAAAATGAAAAGCAACTGCAAAGATGCCATTAACCATGCTCCTCATAGCGGTCATTTGTTAGAAGCCATCAGCCCCGAAGCGGTGATGAGCAATAGTAGCAATAACAATTATCTAGTGGCCTATAATGGCAAAACGAGTAAAACAACGGCCAGTGTCAATGCCGGTAATGGCGTTGGCGTCGTCACCAGTGATATGGAGACCAATTTGCAGCTAGTGCCACAGTTTCCCCTGGAAGCCAAACAAGTCCTGGTTCATGATAGCGGGAGACATGCGGGCAACGCACAGTCGAAGAATTATAATCATGCCAGTGGCAATGATGGAAACAACAACAGTAACAGTAGTAGCAGCCACAGCAGCAGCGGCCCTTTTTTCGAGCAAAATAAACAAAAACTACACAGGGGCAGCAGCGTTGGTCTCAGAAGCTTGCACACAACTAAATTGGTTGATATTCTGGATACGTTGCACGACAGCGTCGAGCTCGAACACGTTGACGACGTAGACGACGACGACGACGAAGCATTGTATATAGTCGAGGCTGATACCCAGGACAAAGCGTTTGGGAAACTACAGCACACCAAAGCTGCCGACGCGGCGGACTTGCACGCAAATGTAGCTTTGACACAGAAAGTCAAAGGCCAGCCCTATGCCTACGGCATCTTCGTGAATCTGTATGAGCACAAATATGAGCACATAGCAAGTAAAATTGTGCAAGAATCGGGGGTCACAACCAATGCCAAATTAAACGATAATAATGGCGGCACAATTTCTCCGACGAAAACTGCTGATCGCCGACAAACGTCGTCGCAACGACAACCACATTCATTAGTTGAACTGCCAGTTATGAATTTGCACAAACAATTTACAAAAGCAACACCAGCTAACACGAACGATGTGTATACAGCGCACAACGCGCGCAACTCACTTAGCGATGCCAGGATTTCGCTTGCCGAATTGGTAACATCTCCCAGAAGAATCCATAAAACAAAAACAAATTTAGTTAGCACGGCGCTAGGAAGAGTAGCTGTGACGCCTCAAAAACAAATAGCAACAACAGCAGCAGCAACAAAACACCAATAACACCAACCATACAGCAATGTTCGCCAAACTTGAACAGGTGGAGGAAGAGGAGAAGGGAATGGGGAAACATAAAATAATTACTTAGAAGTAATTAACAAAAAACAATAGTAATTTAAGTAGTAAAAGTGAAAAAAAGGACTTGTATAAACATTTTGAAAACTTTCATTTTATGCACATACAAAAAATTGGATATATAGGCAGAAGAGTGCAGAATATTTCAACCCTTTATACATACATAAATATGCAGACACAGTCTGCATATGTACATAAGTACATACCTATATAGTATATTTGTTAATACATCAATCAATCCAATATACTTACATAAATATGTAGTATAGGTCAGTTCGGAAATGCAATCCGCAGTATTACTGCAAAGAATTAAACTCTTTTACCCTTAAACTGTAGATCATAGAAATACCTTGTTTTCTCAACTTAGGACGAATTCGACACTTAACCGTGTTTACACATGCTGCACATTGCCATAAATTATAGGTTTGAAATAAAAGGGACTGTCTTTGCAGTAATGCCGCAGTATTGCATTTAAGAACTGACCCTATGTACATATACATATGTATGTACATAAGTGCATGCATGTATGTATGCATATTAGACCTGCAGTCGGACTCCAACATTCGCTATCGTTAATTTTGATCTCCAAAAAAAAGAAAGAAAATGCGTGCCTGTATGTGTATATTTTTAGGCCCCACTGCTTGTTATTTAGAGAATTTTGGTGACAAAAATTTAACTAAATTGAAAAGCAATGGGGCTTAAAAGCAAAAAACATGAAAAAGTAACAGATGCTATGAGTGATCATTCATATCCTGCAGTATTTGTAATATGTTGCTAGGAGTGCCTGCCACTTTCAGAGATTTTTGGTGATCAAAATTAGCGATAGCGCTTTTTAGGCCCAATTCATTTTCAGATCACATACGTTAACTGTACTTAAATTTTCAATGTTTGCTACGAAAATATGAGATAAGCAACCCTGTGTTTATATCAAACAACAATCAGCTGTTCAGAACAAAATATAAACAAACTAACAAATGCAACAACAATTTCTAGGAACAAGCAACAATGGTGCCACTTGTTTGGCATATTTAAATAAAGGTGATCTGAAAACCAGCAAAAGCTAAATGAGATTTAAATAACAATCCAAAAATTTAACTTAAGTGCAATTTAGCTCTTTCATCCAGCGCATCTAAAATTGGCCTTTAGAAAATGTTTCTGATTACCCCCTTAGTTTTAAAGCTTAATTTGAGATGATTTCGGCGTAATGAAAATTCACTTCCTTGGCACAACTCCTTACGATCATAGGAAATTGCAGCCCTCAATAAATTTCTTTAAATGTTTAGTAACTCAACTTGAATTTAGACGGATAGAAATTGACATAATTGAGTATACTGGTTGAAGGTCGACAGAGTATGTGATGGTAGAGTTTGTTTTCAACGATATCTCAACAATCAAAAATATTATGAACAAATCTCGATTTTGACGGGTTTTAGAACAAGACAAGAACGAAGGTTTGAGTGATGCTAAAATACTTTTAAAACCCGCCACTAAAACTTTTTTCGCGACTCAGTTTAATATATGTAGTACAAATATAAGTACATATACAGGGTGTCCCAGAAGTAACGTGCCAAACTTTAGGGGAAGGTAGGTGGGGGGGGTGAGCTCCCTGATAAACAAAAAATTTTCAGGTAAAAGTGTCACCGTTTTTGAAATTTAAAAAAAATCGTGCTNAATATATTTTAACTACATTGCATTTGAGTATGGAGAGGCAACTATCTGGAAGTATTTTACATAAAAAATTTACTAAGTATTGCCCGGTTTGTAGTTGCAGTTAAAGAAAACACATGAAAAGGCACGATTTTTTTTAAATTCGAAAAAATGTAAATATTTCAAAAACGGTGACACTTTTACCTGAACATTTTTTGTTTATCAGGGAGCTCACCCCCTCACCTACCTTCCCCTAAAGATTGGCACGTTACTTCTGGGACACCCTGAATATATAAACTTAGCAAAATTGAACCATAGTTAACGTGTCCAGTGCATTCATGAACAGTGAATTATAAAGTAGGCGTCTGCGGCAACCTGACACAAAGAACTGTATTTAGAAAGTTTTCCTTTTCTGGCAGGTCGGAAACTTTTGTCCTCAAAAGATAATGGGTGCACTCAGTTGAGTAGAACAAGAGACCCAAGTAAACAGCTTCCTATTAGCGCTCACGATGCTATAGTTTCTTATGTTATGAGTTTGGTACTTGTGCCGCCAAGAGAGACAGGGTTACCCGGAAAGTCCGAATAGATAGTTAAGGACATTATTATTTAGGTCATCTATGAATAATTTGGTTAAGTTCGACAAAGATAGTATTACTAACAGGCCCGTCGAGAAGGAGGGGGAAAGGGGTGAATCCTTCCGGGCCCGGACTTCTTTACAATGTAAATAATAGCTCCTTCGTTATAGGCTTTTGTTATAAATATTATAAATATATTCCGATTCGTGCTCATTGTTTCTGACTCTAGCAACAATGTGACTCCATAGATTAAAGAAAATTACCATTTGGCCCAAAACGCGTACTGTTACAATGCGTTTTGACTCACAGTGCTTTTCAAATATCGCTCAAATTCGCTAGAATAATTTTTCTTCTTGCATCTTAAAGTATAAGTATGTGGCAATATTTAATATGTATATGCCTAAAATATATTCTACCTCGTGTTGTTTAGGAGGTATAAATGTTTCAACAGCGGACTGTTACATTACAATTTTTGGAAGTACTTTTTAAAGCTGCTTTATATTCGAAAAAGTCTGCTCTTCTTATATAACTCAAGAACTAGGTATTTATTGAACTGATAAAATTAATTTTGAGGTTAATACTGTTACCTGTGCGATATACATACGTGCAGATTATAATTAGGTTTTTAAATGGCTTGTAGTATGTTTTATGCAATAAGTAGCATGAATTCAGTATTTGGAACATGATAATTACATTGTGAGACAAATGGTAGGGCTCAGTGATCGGGAAGGGTTCAAACTACCAGGGAAAGTTATATCGGTAAAAAAGAAGTTATACGTGTCCCGGCGTTTCGCTGGGTCACGTCTAGGAATCGAGATATATCGATTTGAAGTTAGTAACTATCATATAGGGGAAATTGTCACCTTTGGTGGTCTTTTTTTTGACATAACTCGAGAACCAATAGTCCAATTTTGCTCAAACAAATTTGAAAAAATTAAAAATTACAATTCCTTTTTATGAATTTAAAAAAAATTTAATTTTTAGGCAAAAATAATTTTTTTTTTCTTCATACATTTATTTTTACCGGCAAAACTGTTGAGTATATAGAAAAACGTTATATTAACAGATTAAAGGAATTATAATTTTTAATTTTTTTAAATTTGATTGAGCAAAATCGGACTAGTGGTTCTCGAGTTATGTCAAAAAAAAGACCACCAAAGGTGACAATTTCCCCTATATGATAGTTACTAACTTCAAATCGATATATCTCGATTCCTAGACGTGACCCAGCGAAACACCGGGCCACGTATAACTTGTTTTTGACCGATATAACATTTCCCGTTGGTTTCATCCCATCCCGATTTTGACTGTCGCATAGTGTTATGAATACAGGTTTGAAAGTTTCTGTTGCTGTGCAGCTGTAAGTCGTTTCGGAAGTAATTTTCTGCGTAGAACTCGAGATCGATCTTAGAACTGCGCCAAGATATTGAGGTATTTCGCGGTTAAGTACACGAAAAACGGCTTTAGTGGCCGCTTTTTTTTGCTCCATGCCATTTAGTACTATTCGTACCCTTCAAAATGCGCCTTCGAGTGGTGCTTTACGATTTTTTCTTCAGAAACTATGGCCATTGGAAGATGACGTAATGAGTTAGAAAGCATATGCTCGGTTTGGCGATGTTTGATTCGAGGACTAGCGTTGCCAAATGTTCCGTATTTGCCGGGGTCCCGTATTTTCATTTAATTTGAAATTTTCGACGATTTCATTATTTTTTTCAACCTGTAAACTTCTACTCAACATGGTTATGGTTTAACGCGGCTATTGTGAGTAGCAGTGTTGCCTCGAATTTTTTTAGTGGCAGCCAAATTCCTTTAAAAAAAGGGCTAAAAAAGAGCTAAAAAAGTCGTTGTGGCTAAAAATGGTAGTTAAAATTTTTTACTTACATATGGGTGCTTCCTGCGTTACGGACGTTCTGTTTGGAGACACTTTTTTCATTATAAAAACTATAGTAGGCTCTGAATGAATACACATTTTTTGTCATGAGTAGTCATCATCAATACCTATCTGAAATCATTAAAAATATATGGTAAGTGTATAGCGACTAAAAGTTCCCGTTCGGACGTTCCCAAAATGGAACTCGTATCGAAGATTACTGATGATTTTTGCTAAATTCTGCGAATCTGTTAAAGGTGGAAAAAAATTATGTTGTTAGAATAAAAAGCAGCCATAACCACTGCGTCAACTTAAACTTCCTAACAATGTTTAGTAGCTGCCAAAAACTGTTCGAAGTTGTTCGCACGTTCCCGTTCGGACGTTCCGATTTTTTCCAATGGATACAATTTTTTGTTTAAGAATTTAAACACACTCGTTTGTTAATGCAAATATGGGGTTTCATTGTAAATGAATCTACATCTATATGAAGGCCTTTATTAACGTTCGTTGAAGTAATTTCTCGTACAAGCAGACGTACATATTGACGCCTCCAAATCATACTATGCAAATTCTGACTATGGGCCGGTTACTCAATGTCTGGTTAACACTAATCTGCGGTTAAATATAGTTTTCGACGTTACCGACTCCCTGTTGTATGCATGGAGTCGAACACGTCGATAAGGATGTTTAACCGTAGATTAGTGTTAACCAGACATTGAGTAACCGGCCCTATGTCTAAGCTGACATAGCATAGTATGGTTTGGAGGCGTCGATATGTACTATATCTATATAGGCTTATAGGTATATACAGGCTATAAGGCTTACAGAACATAAGCTGTACTAAATTTTAGTATAGATTTCCAGTTGTTTTTAATCGTGTGCTACAATTATGAAGGATTTCTGGAAGGTATGGTTTCTCCGAAAAAAAGAAAAATTTAAAGTGTAGTTGGAAAACCGCAAATATCTTGAAATTGAATGGACCAATTAGTCCAATATTTTGGTGGATGAAAGACAAAATATGTAGTTATCGATTGGCATCTATAAACTTTGTCCAGGCAAAATTATATTTTTTTGGTCTTGGTTGACACTTTTCAGGAAACACCCATATGTATATATATTTTTTTACTTACACGCCGAAATTTCATAATTTTTCTACCATTTTGTTAAACATTGTTTTTTTTATTCACAACTGCAATATCGTGAAATTTAATCTTCCACAAACACGGCTTTGACTCATATAGTGCAAGAAATTTCCGCCAAAATACTTTTTACTTAGAAAAATCAGCTAGCTTCAACATTCACGACACCAGCATGCTGGTACAATCAAAATTTTCAAATCGTTTTTGAAGTCGCACCAGCAGCTGGTGCAATCACACCACAAGAACATACACGGTCAATCGACTTGATGCGCCATTTAACAAATTAAGCATGTTAAGGGCCGTAAATTTATCTATTTTAAACTATAGTTAAATCGTTTATAGATAAGTTAACAGCCCTAACACTTTTATAGTATGTATGTATAAAAACGTAAGGAACATACAATACATATATGTATATATATCAGTATTTCTTTGTTTAAAAAATCATCTCTTATATAAATGAAAGAAATGAGATCAAATTAAGCATATACAACTTTTTCATGCCAAGGACGAAGAAATTCTCCATAGGGCTAAAAAAAGGGCTAGGGGCAATTTCCAATTTATGTGGCCAAAAACAGTATGTGGTAGCTAAATCTAGCCACCAAACTAGCCCTGCAACACTGGTGAGTAGGTCATTAGCAAGCATTATTGCACGCAACTCTGTAAGAGAAATTGTAACCGCATTGAACATTGCAGGGTGGTAACTTGCAACGTAATAATTTGGGCTGTTAGGATAGCCGATAGGGACCAATTTATCTGTGCTAGCTTCAGTAGCTGGGAAGGTTCTTGGCTATCCTGTTTGCTCTTTACACTGCGGCACTATTTTATTATAGAGTCCCGAATTTATAACAAACAAACAAA